TAATGTCAAAGTTGGTTTACTTGGGCCAAAGTTAAAATACTAGCTTTCTGCAGGAGCTGCAAGTCTGGCAAGGGCAGAAGTTGCCTGCCTGGCAGAGAAAACTCCCAATGTCTGGCTCTGTCAGCATGGTGGCTGAGATCCAGTTTGATGGTGTGTTGCTGGGATTTAGTGTGTTTAGTACCAGTTAAACAACATACTTGAACTCTGATAATGTTCAAAGGGTTGTAAGGAGATTTGCCATAATTAACAGAGACGTAGAAGAGTTATTTCTGTCTTGTTAAGTACTGGTGTTTCCCCATGTAGACATGACAAGGTGCATGTATGCTTTTTAGCATTTCTAGTTTTTAACTTGGGCCTTAGATTTAGCACTGAACTAGTTTAGTGTCTAGAAACAGTGTTTTGCACTCTCCAGCTGTGCTCTGAAGGAAGTTTGGTCACTTTGTCACAGAGGGAGATTTTGAAGCATACCTGTAGGCCTACAAAGGAATGCTATTATGTAAAACAGCTACTAGGAGACTCCCTAATCCACCTCCAATCCCTGCATTAAAGGAAACATCCGCATTACTGCACATGCAGTATTGAATTAGAAATCCAACCTGCTGTCATGCCTTCCCAACCTCATGTATCATCCTTCTTTTCTCAATACTACTCAGGTTCTGTTCCTTCTCACCTGAACTGCATACTTTGGTATTTAAAAGCTTTTCATCAGAACATTTCCTACAAGCTTGTGTATTCTGAGGAGCAAACTGAAATGTTTCAGTTGCTTTAGTGCCCGATGCCATGTCATTATGCAAAGGAATGCTCGGTAGCTTGTCTTTTAGCAATTACATGATAGCAGCTAAACTTCTTGAAATGTTAAATCTTTAAATGGTTAAATCCTTAGAGTTTGGGTGTGGCAGTTATGTTACACCTAATGGAGGAGAAAATGCTGTAGAAAACCTGAAATGAATACTTTTTTTTGGGTAACCTGTGGGATGCATTGCTGATGATGGTCTTTCCTATGGGGTCAATTCTCCTAGGGTTTACAGCGCAGTAATACACAGGTTAATGTAGTTGAAACACTGTTGTTGCCTTGTGTCACTGACTTCTAAAGTTAATTTTAAAAGCTGACTTTGCTAGAGAGATCTTAAAGCATTTTTTTCTGGTTCACAACTGCTCTCACGACCTAGGGGTTACCCAGTCTGCAGGTAGATAGAGATTGTGACTGGGTTCATAGGATTCTATAATACACAAGGACATGGAGGCTTTTTACTCTGAATTTCTCCACTTTATTACAGATTGCTAGAAATGCTATGAAAATCACCGCTAACAACTGTATCTATGATGAATAAAGTGAATATATTTGAGTGGAAAATAAAAATGTATATATATAAAGCTGCTACAAATTATTGGCAGCTATCAATAGTGTGGCAGCAACCAAGTAGTTGTATAATATTACAGCTTATCTCTAGTGAAGCAAACTTATCAATAATATAGCAGCAGATGTAATTATGATAAATAACTTATTTGCACATATGCATATGTTTACAATAATATCTTACTGGACATATCTCAGAATGAGACAAACAATCCCAGAAGTGGGAGGACAAACCAAACCCACCCCAGCGAAGGGTCCAAGATCTCTTAGAAAGCTTGTGCAGAGAGTTCATCCTGTTTAGGAAAGGAAAAGCACATGCATCACAGGCAGTTCTCTGAGAGAGCAGCTTCATTTTGAGTAAAAATTAAGTCATTTTTATATCACAGAGAGATAAGGGGCTGTAGGACATCACTACTTCAGCAACCAGTAAATGCTGTTAACTATGTTCTGTTCTCTCAGGACAATTTTTATTTTTCCACTGTTTTCCTGTTCTTGCAGATAGAACAGCCAATGGCAGTTACCAGTTCTTATTTTCTGAGGATGTTTTCTGCTTTTTCCAGACTATTTTTCACCTTTTCAGATGACAAGTTGCTGTTTCAATTCCTTGGGTTTGTGCTTATCAGTCATATCTCAGGATGTCTCCAGTTTCTAGGTATCCAGCTGGGTGCTGCACATCTCAAGGATGCTTCTGGTTCCTAGACCTAATTGCCAAGCTGGCAGGGATTTTCTGTCAGTATTTCAGCAGACATTTTCTTCTGTTAGCAGTTTTCCCCTTCTAACCAGGTCACCTTTATGTCTACTCACACCGCCAGCATGTCCAGTTAAAATGTGTACTGAGCCTCGTAATATTTTACTGTTTCTTGCCCAGCAGGAGATAGGGAGCTGTGATTGATATGCCTGGGGGGGAAATTATGGAAGCTGATTAATCTTGGAGCTGAAGCTTGGCCTTTTATGTTTTACCCTTTTGTGTGTGTGTGTGTGGAGCGGGGAGGGTGTTTGAATTTTGTCTGTCTGAAGATGAAATCCAAGAGCGCTCTGTTCTCATCATCAAGGAAGATACTCATCTGTAAAGCTCAGCAAATAGACACCATGGTGGAATGTTCTTACGGGTTTTTCTCAGGGGTTCATAACCTCTGCTCTTTGTGGCCAACTTCACTTGCTCTGACCCTCAGGGCTGGAGAAATATCCTCTGGAAGTTCAGGTTGGTGAAATTGTAGATAATTTCAGGGGAGAGAGCAAGGAAGCAAAGAATTCCTCCCCCCTCCATGGTTTCTGCTGCTTGGCGAACTTCAGAGTATTCAACCAAACCCTGAGGTGTTACAGTGCCAGACCACACTGCTGCCAGAATAGCAACAAATACTGCTTTAAAGAGTTGGAGGGGCCAGAGCAGTCATAGTGGGGTGGATTTGAATGCAGTCATGTGAAGCTGTAACAATCCCTGATGATGGGATGCTGGTTTTTTTTTTGATTTATAGGTGTTCTGCCCCGTTCATTATGTACCCTTTAACTGCCTTTTTCCATAAAGAATCTCTGGCACTGCTTGTTCTAGTGGACAAGTTTCTGGGAGGTTTATTTTGGTTTTAGTAGAACAAGATGTAGCGCAATCAGAGCAAATGGAATTAAGGAAACTGGAAGATCTGAGTAAACTTTCAGGGGCATTGAGGTTAGTTTATACTACTTGTGGTTTTCTTACGTACACACAATGCATAGTCACTGCCTCATAAAAGAAAAAAAGTGATTAATGAAGAATTTTTTCCGTTTAATGGTCTTGGGAAGATAACATCCCTTCAAGCTTTGGAACTTTTTGTGGTATCTTCGTGCTATTGCACAAGCACCAGTGCATTTGAAGTGCAACAGATGTTTCCCCTCAGCTATGTGCATGCTTTTGTTCTGGAACAAGGCGAGCCCGTGAAAGTAGGGTAAGCTACTTATAAAAGTAGTTTTCTGTTGGATTTAAAATTCCTTGTGGACATGTAATTAGGAACAGCTCCATATATAGGTATGCCCTTATGTCCATATCTTTCCATTTATTTACAGGAGAGAGAATACGTACTGCAACAGTGAAAGTTCCCTTCCCTACCCTTGGGAATAAATTTCAGGTTTAGTTGCTGGAGGGTAACTTGGTTTCTGTGCTCCAACTCTTCTCTTTGGGATTGCTAACAACGCAGTGGGGAGATGACAGCACTCCTTTCTGTCTGGTGGAGTTCAGCCTGTACCCTCACAGTGAAAACTGTCATGTTGTCCTCTGACTTTGTGTATCTTTCTCCCATCTCTCCTAATTCTGTGCTTTAAACCTCTTAGTGCTTCAGGAATACAGACAATCTACCACCACCTGACTCGCACAGTGGATAAAATGATGAGAGATACTGCACAAGGGCTTCCTGCAGAGGAGGGAGAGTTTATTGGTTCCTGTGAACATTTGCACTAGGGCTTCAGACCTTCTCAAGATGTGTATGACTGGAGCCAGAGAGGCTCAGATATCAAAATCAACTGATTATCAAAGATTAACAAAGCAATATGTGAAAAGAAACAGAAGAGGTTGCTGGAGGGTACAACATAATACACAAACCTTGTAAAATGATGTAAAGCCTGAATCCCTGTGTTTGTGGTGATACTGGATTTAGCAAGTATTTTCTGTTCTGGTTTGCTGTAAGCTTGAAATGCACTTGCTGTTCTACTATTTATTGTTGAGATTGAGCTTAAAACCAGCCCAGAGACCAAAATGTAGAGCAATTTTTTGTTCAAAGAGAAAAAGAAAGAGAGTCCCAATCTTCTTGTCATGTCTCTTGTATGCCTATCTAGGAAAAATGATCAGTGATGGTAACCCTGTTGTAGCTCTAGAGTAAAATAACATGAACAAAGACAAAAAAGCAAAGCTAACTAGCCACAAAAAAGCCTTATACATAGTTAAGATTAACTTCTCATGAAAAATTTTGTAAGAGTATGTGTATGTGTGTATGCGTATATGTGTGTGTATATATATATGTGTGTGTATATATATACATTATTACATGGAAGTTGGGCACACTGTAACCTCAGAAGAGGGTAAAAATCTGAATGTAATTCCTCATCCATAGCCCCTTCTTTAAACTGTAAGATACTCGGGTCCATAATGGGACCATCAGACTTACATAAAAATACAGGGGTGCCAGAAATTGATGGATAGAGGGTTATATGCCATCATATAACTTTATGTGAATGTATAGTTTGTTTTTTCCTACCCATAGACATGGGGGAGAAAGCAGATACTTTTTTTTTTTTTTCTTGTTATGACCACTGGATTTAGCAGTAGACACTGTTCCTGCCAGTTGGTTCTTTGGGGAATGAAGGGTATGTCACATTGTGTTAAGATAAAAGGTAGCTTTTACTCAAGGGCTTATTTTTGATACATTGCCTATTGAAAGGAAAACTTCAAAGTTGTTCTTCTCTTTGCTTAACAATTGTAACTAAACATTTTGTACATGATACAGCTGTGTGGTTTTTATGAAGTCTTTCTAGCTCTTGATTACTTGCTTTTTTCTGGTGAACATATTTGGTATAGCACAGGTAAAATAACCCACCTAAGCTGTTACAATTAGGTTTTAATTTTCTTACAGAAATACTTCAGGGTAACTAAATCTTTTTCTTCCCCTTTAATTAACAGAGGAGGAGCTCAGGAAGCTGAGAGAAGAAACAAACGCTGAAATGTTAAGGCAGGAGCTAGAAAAGGAACGGCAAAGGAGATTAGAACTAGAACAAAAAGTGAATGAAGTACTTAAAGCAAGGTAAGAGAAATATCTTCACTGTAAAGCTGAAAGACACTTGAGATCTCTGACTGTCTCTGAGGGGTTTTGGTGAAAGCGTCTGTTTCCAGTCTAGGGTCTCTTAAAAGTAAATGAGTAGCTCACACAGAGAGAAGCTGTCCATGTTTTCCTGTAGAAGTACATCTTGTACACCCATGTACATGAGTTACTTGACCATACATACTGCCATAACTAAGAAGTGTCCTTATAGTGGGGATATTCTTCATTTCCCCTTTTCTGATGTCTTCTGTTTGGGATCTCACCTAGCCGGAGCTATCAGTATGCGCTGTGTGCTACTGAATGCCATTGCATATGCTTTTTCTTTTCAAACGTGTGTCATCTCCAGACTACCTGTTTCTTGTTAGTCCTGTTCTAGCAGGAACAAGGACATCCCAGTACCACAGCCCAACCCTAAAAGTGTGGGAGTGACTGGAGTTTGAGCCTTCCTTGCCAACGCAATGACAAATGAAAGCATGCATCCCCATACCCTGAAGGCCTTTCAGCCTTGAGGACACCCACCTTGATGATGCAGAGCATAATTTTTGAAGTTGTCTCTCCTTAGTCTGCCTAGTTTCATGGGCTTTAGACCTTAAGACCATAGCAGCTGCTTGATGGTCTTGTTGGTTTTACACCACTTGCATACATAGCTGCCTGTGTTATCTTCCTCAGCAGTAGCTAAGATTAGTTGGCTGAGCAGTAGGATCTGTGGTTCACCATCAACAGCTGTCATCAGGAGATAGTGCAAGCTGAGTTGGTAATCGTGTGTGATAAGCACTACCAGTTACTTAGAGGTGACAAGCAAGAACAAACAGGCAAAACTTTTTGCTTGAATGTGAGGTTTCCCAGTGCCATACAAACTCTTCCCAGCCTTCTGCTTCCTTCTGTACTCATCTTCAGTGTAAAAATGCCTTTCTGGTCAGGCCGGCAGTCTGTGTGTGCTGGTATTCTGTAGCAATTGAAATAGGAGCCATTTATAGGAAATGTGAGCCTAGTTGCTTTTTGTGTTCTCTTTACCTCCTACACCTATAGAATCATAGAACTGCTTAGGTTGGAAAAGACCTTTAAGAACATTGAGTCCAACCGTTAACCCAGCACTGCCAAGTCCACCACTAAACCATGTCCCTAAGTGCCCCATTAGGCGTCTTTTAAATACCTCCAGGGATGGCGACTCAACCACTTCCCTGGGCAGCCTGTGCCAGTGCTTGACAACCCTTTCTGTGAAGAAATTTTCCCTAATATTCAATCTAAACCTCCCCTGGTGTGTGCAACTTGAGGCCATTTCCTCTTGTCTTATTGCTTGATACTTGGGAGAAGAGACCAACACCCACCTAGGCTTCTACAGGAGCGATAAGGTCTCCCCTGAGCCTCCTTTTCTTTAGGCCAAACCACGCCAGTTCCTGCAGCTGCTCCTTATAAGCATCCACAAACCCTGTATTTAGGGGTATCAGAAGGCACATTTCTGCGTTTACACTTCAATATCTGTTTGCACACCTGCTATCCATGAATTTACTTAACGCCCTCTTGAAAGTGCTGGAGCTACCTGGTAGCTATGCAGGCAATGTTTCAGAAGCCCACGCTTCACCCTAAAGCAGCAATTTATTTTCTTTCTTTCTAGTAGATTTCTCAGTGGTTTCAAGAAGTACCCCACAGTTACAGAATTACAAGACTTAGTTCAGCATTCAGCTTATTTACCACCCTTAGTCAGTTTTTAACTCTCTTATTCTTCTCCTCTCCCAACTGAAGAGGTTCAGCTTTTCCAATGTCACCTGATAGAGTACTACATCCCTTTCATCAGTTCAGTTGCCATTCTTTAACTATTTTGTCTTAAGATGAAGAGGCTGAGTTTGTTCATATTCACAGTGTGGGTTCACCAAGACTTTGGACAGGAGATAAATTAGGTCTTCCTTCTTGCCCTCAGTACTAATACAGTGGGATTTTTTTAGGTAATGTGTCACACTGATGTTTGAAGTCAGTGTTTCCCTGCAGGATCGGTCTGTGTGCAGTCTTCACTGAGTTGCCAAGCTGCCTGCTTAGAAGGGGCTCTGTGAGGTCCTTGTGGAGGAGTCTTGTTCCCAAGCCAGCCCCATCACTATCCACTGGGAAGGTGATCTGGACTGCTCTCAACTGGGGTTTGGAGGGGTTTTTTGGCATTTTTGGCATTTGACATTTTACAGTTGCTCCTACAGCTGGGACATGGGAGTGCATTTTTATTGCCTATGCTGGTTGACTTGGTTGTATGCATGAATAACTTCCACTTTGTGTCTAAACTGATGTTGCTTGGTTGAGTGGGCTACTGGGGACAGTGGAAGAGGACAGACTTGGACCCATCCCCATGCTGAGACAATCAGTTAGCTTGATAACAGCAGTACAAAACAATGAGTATTGTTTTCTACTGTTGATAGATAAAGCTGATGTTTCAGGATCCCTTTTTGTCTGTGATTTGCTCTCTTGAAGAAGTAGTTTGAGATGCAAATTCCACATGCTTTAGTGCTGGCATAGGCCTAAAGGCTTTCTCCCAGGAGCAGGTATGCTTCCGCTCTAGGTCACCTGCAGAGTAGGGTGAGAATGATCTCATCATTTCTGGGCATCCTGGAGAAGAATGAGAAGCTGTCTTCCTCTGCAGGGAAGTACCCATTGTTCTGCCCTGTGTCAGAGTAATGAGGATGGCCCAGGGTCTGATACGGCTCACTGCACCTTGTGAGTTATATGTGTTTTACAGAGAAAAGAGTTTGAAAGTCTTCGTTTATCAATATTAGTGTCAATATCTGTGCCTTGTTGGATTGTGGACAACAGCAAATCTCTAGCAGGCATGCCACTACTAAATAAAGGTAGGATGACTTGTCCACATCAATGCTGTGTTCCCATTATGTATCCTAAGAGTTACACCAGCTCTGGTAGCTTAGGTATTGCTCTTGGGGATTACAGCCAATTATCCCCTTTACCCAAGTCTTTTTCTAAGTAGTCTTACTAATGTTCCAACCTTTTGGGGACAGGCAAGTATATGTAAGATGACAACAGAATAAGACTGAAAAATTTCCAGTTTCTACCCAGAATAAAAACCAGGTTGTCTATGGTTTTTCCTTAACTTGTGCTCCCTTGTGTGAAATTCTTCTTTCCTGCTTTGTATTTTCTTGCACTTCACTGTACACGTTTAAAAATACTTCTATTAGGACTACAGGCAAAGTATTGGCTGACAAAGTCAAATATGTAACAGGCCAAATTTACACCTGATGGAAACTTAATTTTATTAAGCAAAGTAACAACAAAAAATCATCTCTGCTTATATCAACAAAACCAAATTCACCCTGCTTTTCAGTTAGGTGACTTTTCATATAATCTTAAAATAGATATGCATATGACATATTTGCATGTACTCTTTTGCTTACAGAAGTGAACTGCTACTGGAAACTAAGCCATGCTGTGGTGTAAGAAGGAAGAAATTATTTTAATAAGTTGCAGTATTCAAAAGCATTTGTGAAATATATCAGTGCATGTAGCTGCAGAAATACATGCTGCAAGGGGTT